AAATGTGTTTTTATTGATCTCAGAGAGGAAGGGAGGGGGAGAGAGAGAGAGAAAGAAACATCGATGATGAGAGAGAACATCCATCAGCTGCCTCCTGCTCACCCCACACTGGGGAGGGAGCCCACAACCCGGGCCTGTGCCCTGACCGGGAATCGAACCCTGACCTCCTGGCTCATAGGTTGATGCTCAACCACTGAGCCACCTGGCCGGGCATTTCTGATAGTTTTAGTCGAAGGGAAACCCTATGGAGACCCTCGCTCGGTTTGCCGCACCCCAATCTCATGCTCGCTGCCACGCGCACCCCCGGGCACGCCGGCACGGGCACCTGGAAGGCTCAGGCCACGGGGCCGGCAGACGAGCCCTCCCCCATGTGACGGCAGAGAAACTGGGTGGGGGGGGGGGGAGCGAAGTCCCTTAAGATAAAGCCCGTCACGCCCAGAGTTCCGCTGGGTTCCACACGGATGCCCACTCACCGCCCGGCTGGCCCGGGCCCCCCCGGGCCCCCCCAGGCCCGTGAGCACCGGCGGCAGCAGAGAGCCAGAGCGGAGTGCGTGGCAGTGCCCGCCTTATAAGGCAGCCCCGGGAAACTTGGCTGCTGTCAGCGCGGAGCGGGTGTGTGTGTGTGTGTGTGTGTGTGTGTGTGTGTGTGGGAGTGGGGGGGCAGGGGCGGACTCCCAGGCGAGGCAGAGCTGGCGGCCGCCCCACAGAAGGGATTCCGGGTTCCGCAGCCAGCCCCACCCAGAGCCGCCCGCCGGGGCAGAGGCAGGGGGAGAGCAGGACCCGAGGGGCGGCGAGGCCACTCCCACCCGAGGCCGAGCAGCTGTGACCGAGCAGCGGTGACCGAGGGATGGCAGGAAGGTGCCAGGTGCAGGTCGGCAGCAGCCTCAGAAAGCAACAGCCCTGGAGCCCGAGGGGAGCGGGCAGGTCTGCGGGGGCAGGTCTGCGGGGGCAGGTCTGTGGGGGGGCAGGTCTGCGGGGGCAGGTCTGTGGGGGGGCAGGTCTGCGGGGGCAGGTCTGCAGGGGGGCAGGTCTGCGGGGGGCAGGTCTGCGGGGGCAGGTCTGCGGGGGCAGGTCTGTGGGGGCAGGTCTGCGGGGGCAGGTCTGCGGGCTCCTATCTGACCAGAAGTAGCTGCCGGCGAGGGTGAGAACACGGCCTCCCCTCTGCTCCTCTGACATCCCTCTACGGAGCACATGGGGTTCTTAAAAACACAGACAACGCCACCCCCTCCAGGAACCTAGAACCTGTGGGGGGCCCGGAGGGAATTCTGAATACAGAGTGGACATTATGAGGTTAGCCCTCACCGGTCTGGCTCAGTGGATAGAGTGTCAGCCTTCAGACTGAAAGGTCCCGGGTTCGATTCCGGTCAAGGGCATGTACTTTGGCTGCGGGCACATCCCCGGTGGGGGGTGTGGAAGAGGCAGTTGATCAATGTTTCCATCTCATCAGTGTTTCTAACTCTCTATCCCTCTCCCTTCCTCTTTGTAAAAAAATCAATAAAACGTTTAAAAAAAAAAAAAAAAGTTTAGTCATTGGTAAGTTTTCGTTTCTAATTTCTGTATTTCCTGGGTTTTAAAGGAAAGGTACGATGCTAAACCCCTTTCTACGTTAAACATTCTGGCAGAGGAAAGAGGGCCCACATACAAGTAATTCACACCCCAAGCCACACGCGAGTATTACACACGAGAACGACGCAAAAAGGCCTGGGAGTCAGAGAAGGAGGGCTTCAGGGAGAGGTGCCCTCGAGCTGGGCTTTGAAGGATGCATAGGAGTTCAAAAGCAGTGCTGTGAGGAGGAGCCAGGTGGGAGGTCGGGAGGTCAGCAGGTCCGAGCAGACCAGCTGTGGGGGAAGGAGGCTGTGGGAGCCAGGCCAGGGCGGCGGGAGGAGCTGGGGGGCAGGGAGGTGGCCGCCGCCCAGGAGGGAGACTGGGCTGCGAAGGCCCCGGGGCGAGGGGGCCGGAGAAGGCTCCGAGGGGGCTAAGATACTGTGTTCAGGGAGGTCAGCCTGGGAGCCACTCGGCTGGGGTCCCAGGAGCCCGTCCAGCACCAACGCCAGCTGGAAGGCTTCCTGGAGGCGGAGGCAGAGGGCCGAGCGTCTGACCAGAGGGTGCAGAGCTCCCTCCCTCTCTGACCCTTTGCCCCACGGTGCCAGCCGGGCCTCAGGTGCGAGGGGCAGGGTGCCACCCAGGGCGGTCAGAGCAGGACGGGGGGCGGCGGCGGCCTCAGCTTTCTGCCCGGCCCCCACCGGAAGGGCGGAAGGGCCGGAGTGCCCGGTGCAGGAGGGATGGACAGGACGTGGCCGGTGCTCAGGACAGGATGTGCACCGGGGAGGACTGGGAGGACAGGACCAGCGGAGGGAGAGGAAGAGGCGGGCGGGCGGAGCAGGGGCTGGGTGGGAACGCAGACCTGGGCCCCCTCGGCAACGAATTCCGGGAACGCCCCCCCCACCTCGGCCCCCCAGGAAAGCCCTGCCTCCAGCAGACACCAGGACCTCTGGCCCCACGTCCAGGGCCGAACGGGTCTAGACCACATTCCCCGCTTCAGTGGGCCTCCCCCCCTCTCGCCCGGCTCCTTCCAGACCCTGTGGGAAGAGGGAAGATCCTCCCCGAGGGAGTCACCCCCGCCCTCCCCCACAGAGCACCTTCCTCCCCGGCGGCCAGCCAGCCCCTCCCCCCGGCCAGTGCGCACGTCCAGCCCAAAGGGTCTCAGAGAGCCCGCCCCGGCTGGGGAGACACAGGGCACCCTTGTGAGCTCACACGCGTGTACACACACAACTGGCCCAGTCGCACCGGTGACGGCCCGGCCAGGGGAGCTGGACACCCCTCCAGGGGCTGCATCGGAGGCCGCTCCGGGGCAGCGGGTCTGGAGGCTGCGGAAGGCGCTCACTCCCACTCGGAGAGACGAGCCATATTGGTCTCCACGGAGAAAGGCCGATGCTGTCTGCCCGCCGTTGCCTGGGGAACCCCTCGGGGCCCACACCTTCGGGGGCAGAGCCGTGCTCCTGGGACGCCGCCCCCACACTGCTCCTGGTCCCACTGCCCGTCCTCTCCTGGGGTCCCACTGCCCAGCCACAGCCAGCCCGACCGTCCCCGCACACCCTGAGCTGGGCCCCGCCGCCCGCTGCCCAGGGCCCTGCCGCCCCAGCAGACACCCCTGGCCGGTGCCCCCAGCGCCGGGACACCTCCCAGCACATCCCGCGCCAGCTGTCACCGAGACCTGGCAGGCCCGGCGGCCGCCTCCCGCCACATCCTGTTTGACCCGCTGGGTGTGAACACCTCACCCCCCCCGGAGGGGGACGTATCCGGCCAGAGGCCTGGACCAACCGGAGCTCAGCTGGACCCAAGGAAATGGCCTCCCGGGCACGCCCCAAACACTGCCGGGCTCTGTCCTCAGTGCACCAGGGTCCTGCTTAGGGAGATGACGTGGGAGCGAGCAGACCCACACAGCGGGCGGCCCCTCACCCCTCAGCCCGGCCCCCCTGCTCAGACAGTACACAGCAATCCACCCCACACCCTGCTCCGGCCCTCAGCCCTCAGCCCGGCCCCCCTGCTCAGACAGAACACAGCAATCCACCCCACACCCTGCTCCGGCCCTCAGCCCTCAGCCCGGCCCCCCTGCTCAGACAGAACACAGCAGCTCACCCCACACCCCGCTCCGGCGCACCCAGGGCCCTCCGGTCCCCACGTCCACTGGCCACTGGCAAAGGCCCTCAACCAGGAGAAGCAAGAGGAGGCGAAGGCCGGGCCTGGGAGCGGCGAGCACCCAGGGTCACTGAGCACAAGCCCCTGAGCAGAAGCAGCCGCTGTCCTTCACAGAGACGGACACCCCCAAACACCGGCCTGCAACAGGAAGGAACCCCGACACCAGCTCCGGCACGGCAGACCGTGAGCACACGCCGCGCAGGGACAGCCAGACACGGAGGACAAGCGCTGTGACGGCTTCCATTCCGGCCTAACATGGCCAAACGCACAGTGGGGAAGCGGGGAGGGGGCGGGGGCGGGCTAGGGGGGGCGTGACTGCGATGGGGGCGGGGCAGAGAAAGTTCTGGGGGTGGCGGTGGGCCGGTTCACCCGGTGGGCATGTGCCTAATGCCGCTGAGCTGTGCACTGAACGCGGTCAGGAGGGGGAAGGTTATGTCATGTGCTATAACCACAATTAAAAATAGTCACTCCAGCAGGTTCATCAAAAACCCAGCACGTCCTGTCTGTCCAGCGCACTACACACCTGCTGAGCATTCCCGGCCCAGAGGCTGGCGATCAGAACAGACCCAGCGGGCATGGGCTCAGCGCGGGGACCCCTGGGGCAGCCCCCGGAAGCTCCCCGAGTGAGCCTGCGTCTGGGTTCGGTCCTCCGAGGACAGTCCCCACGCCCCTTGCTTCCCTCCCCCTCCCTTCATCAGATCACCCCCAAACGCAGCTGAGGGCTGGTATCATGGGGACCCCCGGCTCGGGGGCCCCTCCCAGCAGCCCAGAGAGTGTGTGGGTGCAGAGACGAGGTTTCCTGTGTCCTGGCCTCTGCTCCCAGCCTCCCTCCAATGCAAAACCTCGGGGAGGGGGGGCAGGACCCCCAAACTCCCCAGCCCCTACCGGGACCTCGGCCTCTGCCAGGCACTCCCAGGGCTGCCTGCGATTCCTGCCCGGCCCGTGACCACGGAATGCGCTGTGAGAGCCCGGAGGCACACGCCCCGCTCTCACTTCCCGGCTCCGGCTCCGGCCCCGCCGTCCCGGCTCGCACAGCAGCCGCCGGACAGCACGGTCCATGCGGGGTCCTTCCCGGAGCCCAGCTCAGTGCCACCTGCTGCCTCGGGCCCATCGCCCCCCTGGACAGTCCACTCCGAGCTACGGCCGCTGGCCCCCGAGTGTTCTAGGTCCCCATGGACGCCCCCCCCCCCCGCCCCCATTCCACTTTTCTCCAAAACTGTGGCAAAGCAGCTCCCGCCGCCAATCAGCCCCCCCCACACCCACAGGGCGGCACCGGCCACACCAGGCACAGGGCTACTCACCGTCCTGGCTCCTGGGCGGGGCCTCGGCCGAGGGCGGCAGGGGCTTGGGCTCCAGCCTGCCCTGCAGCTGCGACAGCGACAGCGGCGTGGGCTCTGAATTCTCCAGGGACGGGGTGGGGGCGGCGGGCGCCTCAGCCGCCTTGGGCACCTGGATCTCCACCCTCCTGGGGGCGGGCTCGGCTGCGGGGGCGGCGGGCGCCTCGGAGACCTTGGCGGCGGCGGGGGCCTCCGCCCTCCGGTGGGCCGGCTCCGGGGGCTTCACGATGGTGATCTCCGTCCTCCGGGGCGCGGGCTCCGGCGTCTTGTGGCCCAGCGCCTCGGCCCGCTTCAGCCCGAACCGCGAGGGCCCGGGCGCGCCGGCGCCCTCCACCTGCTTGGACGAGATGTCGATGGAGAGCTCGGTGCGCCGGGACATGGGCTCGGACTTGGGCCCCGACAGCTCGACCCTCCGCAGGGGCGGCTTGGGGGAGCGCTGGCTCAGGGCGTCGGCATGGCGGGCGGGCGGCTCCTGGAACTTCTGGGTGGAGCTGGCCACCGTGGCCCGGAGCAGGGGCGTCTGCACCCGCCGGGGCGGCGTGGAGTTGGGCGCGTCGACCTCCTCGACCTCGAAGGATCTCTTCAAGGCTGGAAGACAGAGCAGGGGGTGAGCGGGGGCTCAGGAACCCCGGGACCGCCTGTGTGCGGCCAGCGGCACCCTCAGGGGGCAGCCCCCTCCACAGGAGACTCAGCCGTCTCGGGGGAGAGAGGAAAGGCTGGAGCTGGAAGGTGCCGGCCTCGCCGTCCCGCCACGACCACGCGTGGACCAGCCACGTTTCCCACCGGGAAGCCTGACTTCTTCCTCCCGTGGCCTTCCTCTCTCCTCCTCCCACGCGCCCAACACAACACCAACGGCAAACGCGCCACCACCTCCCCCCCCCCCCCCCCCCGCACAGCCACAGCAGCAGGGACACGTCCCCGGGACGGCAGCACCGGCCGCTCAGAACCGCGGGAACACGGCCCGTCACACACACAGCGGCGCGAGGGGCCGACACGAGCATCGCACGGAGGGACCTGAGCACCCAGACAACCCTCCGCCGCACACAACGCCGGTGTCCCCGGGACAGAGGGGGAAACTGAGGCCCAGCTGGGCCACGTTCCTGCTACAGAGTCTGCAGCTCGCCCCGGCTGGTGTGGCTCAGCGGATAGAGCGTCTGCCTGCGGACGGAAGGGTCCCGGGTTCGATTCTGGTCAGGGCACATGCCCGGGTTGTGCAGGAGGCGGCCGATCCACGATTCTCTCTCATCATGGATGTTTCTCTCTCGCTCCTCCCCCCCCCCTCCTCTGAAATCAATAAAAATGTGTTTGTTCTTTTTTTTTTTTTTAAGATATATTTTATTGATTTTTTTACAGAGAGGAAGAGAGAGAGAGAGAGCAAGAAACGTCGATGAGAGAGAAACATCGACCAGCTGCCTCCTGCACACCCCCTACCAGGGATGTGCCCGCAACCAAGGTACATGCCCTTGACCGGAATCGAACCCGGGACCCCCCAGTCCGCAGGCCAACGCTCTATCCACTGAGACACACCGGCTTCGGCGTGTTTGTTCTTTTTTTAGAAAAAGAGTGGACAGCTAGAAAGAGATGAGCTGGGTGAGGCAGTCAGGCTTGGAGGAAATATGTGTGAGAGGTGACACCCCAAAATTAGGTACTGAAGACAACAGACCCCCATGGGGCAGGGAAGACCTGGGCGCAGTCTGACGGTGCAGCGACCCCGTGAAGGGGCTTTAGGGCCTGAAGATAAACATCCTTTTGAGAGATAAGATTAGGGGCCGCCAGCCAGCGAGAGGTGTAAGACCCCCAGCCCCCACCGCGGGGCTCCCAGGAGGCCCTCCCTTGGTTTGGGGGCTAGTCACCGCTCAGACCACATCTGAGGGGGTTCCTCTTCTGAAATACAGTCTCCCTGCCTTTGCTCCTTGTCTCTGTCTGACTTAGTTCCCACGGGAAGACAAGAGCCGAGGACGCAGGGTCCTGTCTCGGCCATGGCCCTGGCCACCGCTGCAGGGAGGGGCGGGGAGGCGGGCCTGACCCAGAGGCGTGTCTGTCGGCTCCAGGCCCACGTCCTACGCACATGGCCTGGTCGTGCAGTTTCTGGTGGAATCAGGCGGAGCCAGTGCAGGCTGCCCCCTCAGCCCCTCTCTGTCCTCACCCCCCAGCACCTGCTCCTCCGGCCCTGGGCCTGGGGCCTGGGGGGAGGGGACTGGCTCCCACACCCACACCTCTCTGCTCCCTCCCCCAGGCGGCGGGGTGGGCTAAGAAGTCAGAGGAGACCAGCTGCTCCTGGTTACGAAGCCCAGGCAGGTGACCCAGGTCCAGCGCACTCACCCGCTCCTTCCCGCCGGCCGGTCCCATCCACCCAGGGCCCCCAGCCCTCCCCTCACTCGCCGCTCCCACCCCCAGCCCAGGATTTTGAGGGCTCTACTGCTCCCTCCCCTCCCCCCTTCCCCCCTCCCCGCCGGCTGCTGGCCCCAGGCCCCGCCATCTCTGCAGGCCCCTCTTAGCAGCCCGCCCTCCCTCCCCTCCACATTCCAGCCAGAAGCCCCGGCCCACTGGGGGGCAGGCAGGCAGGCGGCCGGGGAGTGTGTGATCCCAACGCCAGGTGGGGGGGCCGCACAGGAGCCCCGTCCCCAATACCCACCCCTGGATTCCGGTCCCCCAGCCACGCGCTCCCCGGAGGCCCTCCCCGAGCCCCGGACACAGGGCACAGGTCCCGGGTGGCGAAGCTCAGCCACCCCGAGGCCCGGCAGGGACTGCGAAGCTCCCGGAGGGGGCTGTGCGGACCTGGGGGGCCCGTTACGGGCGCCCCAGAAAACTGACGTATGGGCCATGAGAAGGGTGGACCCCTGGGCTACCATGGTCAGTGGGGGGTGAGGGGCTCAGGCAGGGCCTAGGGTGGGCAGAGCGTGGGCGGGGGGTGGGGGCAGCGGGGGAGACAGGAGAGGCGCCAGGTGGTGACAGTTGTCGGTGTGAGTGCCATCGGCACGTGTGCACCGTGTGTGTGTGTGTGTGTGTGTGTGTGTGTGTGTGTGTGCGTGTGTGTACATGTGTGTGGTCACCCCCCAGAGTGGCCAAGACTGCACGGCCCTGCCCCACGTCCGTCACCCTCACGGCTAGTACCGGCCCCTCCGCCCGGTGCCCCAGGTGGAAGGCAGGAAGGGGGAACCTTGCTCTCCGGCCACAGCTGGATCAACCCCCAACCCCACCTGGTGGGCCAGCTCCGGGGCGTGGGGTGCGGAGTGGGGGTGCCCGCCGCCCTCCCCGTCTCGCTCACTCTCACTGGGGGACCCCCGTCTCAGGGCCCCTGGGGGCTCCGGGAGGAGGTGGGGAGGAAGGCTGGGAACAGGGGAGGGTGCGGAGGGAAGTGGGGCGGGGCCCTCAGAAAGCAACACGATCCAGAGGGAGGGGCAGCGGCTGGGCCTGCGCGGGGAGCGGAACGCCGAGCTGCCGCGGAGCTGCCGGCCAGCCCCGCGGGCGCTGGTGTAACAACACGAGTCCGAGTCCATATAAAGGAAGAGGCTGGAGGGCGCCGAGCGGCACCCACAGCTCACCCCCTCGGCCCTCCTGCCACGCCCCACGGCCACACAGCCCCTCCGACCCGATGCAGCCAGTGGCGCACCCCCTGGCACGGTCCCCCTGGCACGGTCTGTCCCCCTGGCATGGTCTCCCGGAGGGTCTGGCCTCCCCCCGCCCCCCCCCCCGCAAAGGAGGACCCAGCTGACCCATTTCCGCGGTCCGGGGGATGTGCCACAGGAGCCAGCAACGCCCCTGAGGGCCCCCAGGAGGTCTCTCCACCCAGGGGACCCCCCACCCGGGTTCTGGTGACGGCCTTTGTCCAGGCCGGAAGGTAGGGGGCTCCAGGGTCCCTTCTGCTCCCCACTCCCCTCGGGAGGCCGGCCGGTCCCGCCCGGGAGCACACACCGGCCAGGTGCGGGCGGCCTCCCTGCCAGCAGCACCTTCAGTCATTAAAGAGCACGGAGTGGGGGCGTGGGCGCTGAGACTCCTGGTCCCCCCCATGCAGACAGGACCTCGGCGCTGGGCGGGGAGCCCCGGGATCCCAGCCCTCATCTCACTCCCCAACGTCTTTCCGTTACTTTCCCCTGGAAAAGCTCTCCAGCAGCCGGGCAAACGAGGGCGCCGGCGGACCCCCCCTCAGCCCCCGGCCAGGTCCTCCCGGAGCCTGCTCTGCTGCTGAGGAGCCTGAGTGCCGTCTGGAACGGGCGGTGGCTGTCGGGAAGGGGCTCTGCAGGGTCACTCAGAAGGGTCGGAGAGGGCAGTGCCCAGGGTGGGCCCGCACCCAGCGGCAGGGTCCTCAGAGACAGTACAGGAGACACCCGGGGAGACACACCCATGAGAAGGAGGCCACGTGGACGCGGAACAGAGACCCCAGTGGCGAGTCCACCACCCAGGGCAGCAGAGGGGCCTGGAGGAGGCGCCTCGCTCCGAGCCTCCCGCAGAAGCTGGCCCTGCCCACACTTCGGTTCGTCATTATTTTTAATAAGCGTTTTTATTGATTTCAGAGGGGAAGGGAGAAGGAGAGCGAGAGAAACATCCATGATGCGAATCATGGATCAGCCGCCTCCTCCACGCCCCACACAGAAATCCAGCCCGCCACCCAGGCCTGTGCCCTGACCGGGAATCGAACCCTGACCTCCTGGTTCCTAGGTCAATGCTCAACCACGGAGCCCGCCGGCCAGGCCACACGCCTGAGCTGGACGCCTGGCCGCTGGGCCTGGGACACCCCGTCTCTCCGGTCTGAAGCCCCTGCTGGTGGCCCTTGGAGAGGGCAGCCTAGAGATACCGCGCCAGCCGGACACAGGAGGGAGGCCGGTCTGCCCCACCGCGGCCGCCTGTGGGCATGGTGCCATGGCTGTCCCCTCCCCCGCTGGGACAGGGCCCACGCACCCAGCCCCACGGGACGGGTCGGCCAGCCCACTCCTGCTGCCCCGTCATTAGTCAGGGCGCCCATTCCCCTCCCAGGGGGGCCTCCACTGGGCCACCCACCGCAGAGGGTTCACCCCCCCTTCTCACCCCCCAGAGAAGCCCTCACAGTGAGACGCCCCCAGGAGGGCATCTTCCTGGAAAGCCCCCCTCAGGGGCACCCCCGGGCACAGGCCTCCGGGTGCTTGCCCCTGCCCCTGCCCGGTTCTGGCAGCGCCAGGTCATTCCAGGCCCCTTCAAACGTCGCCCCAAGATGCCGCACTCCCTGTTCTTTGACTGAAGGAGCGGACGGAGCACGAGCACATTTGGAAGCGGGTGTTTGGACCCGTCTGTCACCTGCCTTCCCCCACCGCCCGCTGGCTGCTCCACCCAGAACCGGACGAGGGAGGGACGGGGCAGAAGGTGCAGCGGGGAGAGGCAGAGAGAGAGAGGCAGAGAGAGAGGGAGAGAGAGAGAGAGAGGCAGAGAGAGAGGCAGAGAGAGAGGCAGAGAGAGAGAGAAGCAGAGAGGGGGAGAGAGAGAGAGAGGCAGAGAGAGAGGCAGAGAGAGAGAAAGAGAGAGGCAGAGAGAGAGAGAAAGAGAGAGGCAGAGAGAGAGGCAGAGAGAGAGAGAAAGAGAGAGGCAGAGAGAGAGAGAAGCAGAGAGAGGGGGAG